CCAGTTGTCAGACACTAATAACACATATATTTACACATTATGTCAACAATTATATTATGAAAATAATACCCGAAATGAGATTCTTTGGCAAACAAGATGTCACTGGAATTTGGATAAAAATGTTTGTCTCAATTGATTTGTTACTTATTTTGTTGTTACTATTCGTTCGTTTACTTTACTGATGGTAATTCTGTACGCATAGGAACCCTATTATGAATGCCTGAACCAGAAAATGGATAATAACACTAATAATTCAAGTGATGGACAGATAGAGCACAAGAATAATAACCAGGAAATGGATACTGATATCGATAAGGGTCTGAAAATGTTGGTACGAATTGTTGTCTGAAAATTAACTGGATCATTTTTATTTTGCACTAAAAATTAAAACTTAAAATAATTTTAAACACTATTTTTATTGTTAGGATTGTCTGAAACAAGTGATGAATGTATCAATCAATTCAACCAACGATCGAGAAATTCTAGGTTTAAATACAATTAAAAATTAATTTTTTGGATTAAAACATATAATTTTAATAAGTTTATTATTTCTATTCAATTAAAAGGAAACTACAGTTTAAATCGGTTTGAATTATCAAAACAATTGTCATATAATAGAGACCTTTTGTGCGATAAATCTCTGCGTAAAGAGTCGTTTGAATCGGAAGAGGGAAATGAGACACAAAAAGTGGTCCAATATTTCCAGTGTTTTAATCTATTATCAAATGATTGTTTGCGTAAAATCAATATAAATGAGCGAAACAATAGCCAACGTTTAACTCATTATTTCAATACAACGTTAGATCAGATATTTTGCAATTTATATGAATTTAGATTTGATTTAACTGTTGATTCCGTGAGTATATAATACTTTAATAACTATTTGTTTTTAGTGTTGTTTTAATTAACATTTATAAAAATATTTATTAATTTACAGATAATACAAAAGTGTCAAAAGTCTAATAAAATAAAAGTCAAAGATTTTTACGGCAGTTTAGCGGCCGATAAACTGCGAGACGTTGTGGTAAACAATAAGTTAATGATTGTTTGGATAATTAACTTTTAATAATAAACTTTTTATTTTTAAATCCCAATCAATAGGACTGTCAACTGAAGGAATTGAAACTCAATGCACCAGAAATGGGTTTATATCAACAAAAAGTGGATTCAATTGACTTTTTATATCACAATTATTACTGAAATAGTTATTATATTTTGTGATTTATATTTCGGGCCATATTTTGGACGATAAAAATAGCTAACGATTAGATTGTAATCAAAATATTTATGCATAAAGTTTTATGGCCTCAGAGTCTTAACAAACAAAAAAATCTCGTTAATTAATAATAGCGAGAGATTTATTGTCGGATAACTGTTTTACCAGTTTGTCTACCGATTAATTTCAATGATAAAGTGATTTTTAAAATTTAATATTTTCTATAATAATCCCGTATTTATTGTCTATTTTAAACTACAATGAAATAAAACAGCAAATTCTTGTGCAAAATTTGCAGTAATATTTAGGAAACAGTATTAAACGCCGACACAAACATATGGTTGTTATACAAGCGATAGTATACTGTATTGTAATGAGAATTGAAGTTAAAAATAATTTATTTTTAACACTCGTTTGAAGCGAAAAACTTGTTGTTTTTTCTGTACATTTTCTCTCCTATTGTTTCGCTTGTTATCCAATGAATACAGAAATGAATGCTTTTGACGATTGATGTGAACATTAAGTTTAAATCACACATAAATTGCAAATCAGTTTTTGTTGTTTTTTATTATTTTAATTGTAAAATGTGTTTGCGATCCGTATTTTCATAGCAATTCATACGTGAAATATTTTTTCACAAACAGTATATGTTTTAAACACATGTTTCGCGTTATTTAATACATGGTAACGAAGAGAAAATGTTTTATTATATTTTTAGTTTGAATTTAATTATAATTTTTATAAATATTATTCATAAATATTTTGCTTTCCTCTAAAAATACAGTCGTTTCACATAAAACTGATATTTTAAGAAACTATTCGCGAAATTCACTTTCATTACTAAATTAAAACTATTTATGCAAAGCTAAATTCCCTAAAAGTATCTAGCTAATTTACATTCCATATTATTATTATTTAATTAAATATTATTTTTATATTTGGTATTTATTATTATATAAAATTATTAAATATTTTTGTGTTAATACTCTTTGATTG